CTCTGGGGCTCCGGGACCAAGAGGCCAGAAGGAGGCACCCCTCCTCCCGGCCCCTCCCTCCCTGGTGGCTTTGATTTCATTATCCCCCTCCCGGGGCGGGCTGGCAGGTGCGGGGGTGGGAGCCGTCTCCGCGGGAGCAGCCTCGCCAAAGGTCCGGCTGCTGACGTCCGAGCGCCCGCTCCTGTCAATGAGCGGCAGCGGCAGACTGGGGACTGTTCTGGTAACGAGGCTGCAGACGTCATCGCCTCCTGTTGGACGCGGGCGGGGGGTGGGGGGGTGTCCGAGCAGCGTCTCAGGCTTAAAGGAAAACTCTCTAAGTTCCAGGCAGCGGGGAGAGTCGTTGCTGACAGCACGCGCACCCCCGTGCCAAGTGTGCGCGGCACCCCGGCTGGCACACGCGCGGGCACACGTTCCGTACATAGGTGTGTGGGTCCCAAGTTGCTGTCGCTGGGAGCTGGAGCCGAAATGGACCGGTGTTCGTTGGCGCCGAGAGCGCTGGGGGGGGCTGCTCTGCCGGAGACTCCCGGGCGGAGGGGCCACCGGGCAACCCCCCACCCCGTGCGGAGTTGTCTTCCCCTTTGGCGAGAAGATCAGCGCGAAGCTTCGAGTGCCCGAAGCCTCCGGAATATGCCTGCGGGACGGAGCAGACGCGAGCGTCCTGGACAGGTCCTGAGCGCGGGCCCCCGGGCTCGCCTGGCCGCGGGTTGTGCGCAGTTCCCAGGGGAGCCCCGTGCCCACCGCGCTGGGCGCCGCGCCCCCCGGCCCCTTGGCATTTATGAAGTCGGAATGCGGCGGAGGGCAGAGGTGCGCCCCGCACACTTTGGCGGGTAAGTTGATAGTTCCTTTTACCTATGACTTAACCCTTGAGAGTCCAGAGAAACTTAGTTCCAACCTTCCCCTACTTTAAGAAAAAAAAAAAAAAAACAACTTCCCATTATTTCCCTCCATCCTTTCTGGCAATGAAAAAACGTGTGTGCCTGTGTGCCTGGGCGCGGGGGGCGTTGTGTTTGTGGACTTGGCTGTTTGGGGAAGGGGTGATGCGTGGAAGTGAGAAAGAAGAAATGGAGTTCATAAAGCCAGAGGACCCAAGGCCAGCCCCAGGGCCCCTGATAGCTTCAGGGCTTGGATCTGAGGAGTTTTCGAGCTGCAAGTGCCCCGCGAAGGCTGCGCGCCAGCTGCAGACCGCAGCGGAGCCGGCCCGCAGGTGCCTCCCGGGGCGGCCTGGAGAAGGGCCGCTGTGCACCTCCCCTCCCTTCCCCGTCTCCCTTCTGCCCTTCTCCAGTGTTCAGGGGACAGGACCCCCTCCTCTTTTCATCCCTGCCTCTGCCACCACTCTCCTCTGGCCCCCCACCTCCCCGGCCTCTTTTGCAAAAGATCCTATGATGTCACAGGGGAGGAGGGGGTCCGGAGTCCCCACCTGAAAGCATCATTATGTTCGAATTGCATTCTGCAGCATTTTATTTTCTTCCTTGCACCCAATTTTTCTTTCAATCCATTGAAAACACACCCCCACCAAACAGCACAAACACAGCTCTCCCCCTACTGTCTGAAGGCTCCACTCCATAACTAGACAGGGCCAGGAATCCTGAGATAGCGCCCACCCCAGCCCCCTCCCAAATTAGGAAGAAATCTGCTGAGATGCCCAAGGAGCCTCTCCTCTCTGGTTTTTTTATTTCTCCTCTCCTCTGAACCTCTCCTTCAAGTTGAAGGAAAAAGAGGAGGAAGGAAGGAGAGAGAGAGAGAGAGAGAGAGAGAGAGAGAGAGAGAGAGAGAAACAGCACTCAGCCCCTTAGACGTAGGGCTACATTGATGGAACTGACTGTAGGATTCTGCACTGAGTCCCTGCCCCCTCCTGCCTTTCCTGCCATTCCGAAGTCCCTTCCCCTCTTTAAGCTGCTCCTTCCCTGGTCTCTTCTCCCCACCCCTTTCCCCACCTAACCCCCTCCCCTCCACCTAACCCCACCTTCACTCTGCTCTCCGAGGGGGGAGGGCTGGGGGTGGGGAAAGAAAACCCCCAAAGCCCCAGCCCTGGGCAGAGATGTCGAAGAAACGCAAAGCCCTCGAGGCTGGAGGAGGTGGCGGAGACTCTCGGCTCCCAGAGGAGGAACCCACTGCCTGGTTTGGGGACAGCAGCGAGGAGCAAGGTAGGGGGAGGAGAGGGGGAGGAGAAAAAGGCAAGGAGCACATGCAGGAAAACGTTTTGGAGTTGAGATCTCTTCATAGGAACACCCTGGCCAGCCTTCCTCAGAGACAACTTGAGTAGAGTTTTTTCCCCCACAAATGGGATTTTACGTGTGTCTTCAGGAAATTGGGGGTGGGTGGGAATGAGCTGATTAGGCAGATGCTGGAGACCGAGATCTGTGTGAACTTGAAGCTATGTGGAGAGAAAAGGTGGGGGGTGGGGTGGGGGGGGATGCAGAGGTGGCAGGGAGAGCTCAGGAGGTAATGACTGGGGTCTGCTGACCACGTCCCCACCCCCCCCCCCCCCCCCCCCCCCCCCCCC